CTCTATCCTGGGTGAAAACTTTCTAGTTTTGACCTGTTGGAATAGACTAGTGACATTTTTGGCATCTCGTCAATGTCTTAACTTTCTTTCCATAATTATTTTCTGCTTTCTGGCGGAATTATTGACTTGGCCCATTTGTCATGCACTACAGTATTATGGCTAAACTTCAGTAACTTTTTTGTTTACTATCAGTAAATATTTATAAGATATATTTTGTATAAAATTTATTGTTTTATAGGACCAGAAGTTATTTTAGTTTTTGGATTATGAAATTAAAAATGAAAACTCAACAGACTCAACAAGTCACCTGGATTATGTTGAGTGTCTTAGTATATATTTTTTTATCCAGATTTAGTAAGAAAACGCTTGATAAAAAGTTATATAATTTAAGCACCCTGCTTATGACACATGATATTTTATAAAGACACGATAAAAGGGAAAATGTGTAACCAAAAAAAAATAATAATTTTAAGCAATTTCACAGACGAAATAAATTAAAGCATTGACAATTGGATTGTCTGACAGAAAAGGCTAGTTCAAATCAACTTGAGAGTTATGGAGAGAAAGTGATGACATTAGAAATTATCTTTAGCCTGTGAATATAATTTATTTTTTTTATTTTGTTAGCTTTAATTATCAGTGATTGTCACTAAATTAGTTACTACCATATTAATGTAATATCTTCATGCTCAATCAATTTGTGTCACAGTCCAGCTCCGCTGAAGAAATGTAAGCTTCATGCGGTCATTCCAATCTATGTATATTAAATACTGTCTCTATCCTGGGTGGAAAAAAATTATAGTTTTGACCTGTTGGAACAGACTAGTGACACATTTAAATTTTGTATAAAAGGCTTCAAAAGCCTCAGGACATTGGTTGTGTCAACATAATTCGTGTTGATTTCTTCTAGAATTTTTTTTTTCTGTGTATTAATTAGCTATCTAAAACCTAAAAAAATAATTCCATAAAACTTGTACTAATCTAAACATATATACCTATCTATATGTAAAGAACATAAAAATTAATAATTGTTGTGTATTCTAATTTTTGCAAAACTGTTTGACTGTTAGTATTTCATATCGTGTTTAAATGTGCTCGAAAATTTGACAAATGAATAGAATTGAATGCAGATGCTCTTGTCCAGCTAATCCTGAGGCAGCCAGGACTTGGCATAGTTTAAATCGTTGATTAAATTGCATGGGTAGATTAACCTAGGGTCGAACATAGGACGTAATTATCTTCTTTTTTGAATTAACATCTGTATTTTATAAGATAAATGAACTAATACTTTATAGCATAAAGAAAATTGCTGTATCTTGCCAAAAGAAAACATAAAGGTGTCATGATATATTATTAGTTCTACAAATAGTTTTCTAATTTGAGAGAATATTAAATTTGTGTCCTCGTTCTAGGATTTGAAGCAGTCCATAATAGATGATGGACTGGTAGTGTTGGTCAACTATGTTATTTTAAAGTGTGTCAGCAGGAGTCCTGTCAATCCCACAACAAGTGAGCTTCCTTGGACAACAGTCAATCGTAACACTACAGGAATTTTAAGGTTGGTTAACTATTTACACATTTCCTTTTCAATTATGAAGAAAACAAAAACTCTTTTGATAGTCCCATTTATTTCATTGAATTTTCTTTCAGGAATGTGAGTTCTGCAGGTTTTAGTGCCCGTAAAAGGTTGAGAGAGTGTGATGGTTTGGTTAATGCTCTGATAAGCATCTTGAAATTAGCAGCAGACAATACAGCAACCAATGACATAGATAATAAAGTGGTAGAGAACACAGTGTGTATATTGCGTAATCTTTCATATAGAATACAAGAAGTAGTAGATCCTGATTTCTTCAAGAATAGAAGTTTGCCAAGACAACAGAACCAAACAGGAAAAGGCAAATCTGGTAAAGGTCAGCTGATTTTCAAGCACAAATAATATGAATATTAAAGGTTATTGCTTAGTTTGTTTTGATAGTAGATCAAGGCATTGTCTTAATGTAACTTTTATTTTTTATTTTTTTTTTGGTTAGCTGGAGACAGTAATGCTGGTTGTTTTGGGAACAAGTCTGCCAAAGCAAAGGCTGCACAGAACAGTAAGCCAGGAAATCAGCCAAGCAGGTAATTTTCATATCATATATTTTGTTGTAGATATTTGTAACATGTAAAGATATATAAAATGCTTAATATGATGGAATAACTGAGATATACAAATAATGGTTAGTTGGATTTCTGTATACCTTATCTATAAACAGATGTGGTGTAGTGAATCATAAAGCATATTAAAATATTGTTCATTTTATCATCCCATCCTAAATGCTTTCATTGTAAATCCACATACTTATGGTCTTTTTTTTTTGTTTTCAAGTGCCCCTCCTCAGTTGCCACCAGCTTCAATTAACTATAGAGCACTGTGGGGTCCAGAGATTCACTCCTTGTATTCTGCTGTCTTAAAACGTTGCACCAATCCCATCACTATGGAAGCAGCTGCTGGGGCTATTCAAAATTTAACAGCTTGTGATTGGCAGGTAAACTATTCAATTTTTGTTTATCAAAATATGGACATGAGTATATCATTCACTATTGGTGTTTTGACTTTTCATTTGTTTGTTAATTGATTAAGAAGTGCACGTTGCCTTAGATCCACATTCCTGGGTGTGTTAGTCTGGTGCACCTGATCATATTGCTCTTGTGGTCAAGTCATCCTTCACCCAAACAACTTGACTGGCTGTTCATGGAATGTGCTTGAGTCATAAGCGTGCTACATTATTCTACCTCAGCTCTTATGTTGTCATACAGTGTGCTCATTAAAACACTTTGTTAACATCTGGCTGGGACAGTTCTAGTTAAACGTCTTTAAATTGTAGGTCTGATTTATTTAGCTGGTTTATAATGTGTATTTTTTTTATTTTATAGCCTGCAGTTGAAAGTAGGGCCATGGTTAGGAAAGAGAAAGGTCTTCCTTTGTTGGTAGATTTGTTATCTGCTGAGAGCGACAGAGTTGTTTGTGCTACAGCTACTGCTTTGAGAAACTTGGCTATTGATGACAAAAATAAAGAATTAGTAGGTAAGAACTGTGAAGACTTCAAATATGAATTGTGGCAAATTTTTTTGGTCACATTAATTGTTTTTCTTTGTTTTTAATTAGTCTTGCCACATTGTGTGTAGTTATTCTATGCATTTTTTTAATTATTTTTTTTGGTGTACAGGTAAATATGCCATAAGACAGCTTGTCAGTCAACTTCCCCGTGATAATCGAAGTACCCAGCCAGATGACACAATCTGTGCTGTCATTGCTACTCTCTACGAAGTAGTGAAAGATAACCAGGATTTTGCCTTGTAAGTACTGTAGGATGTAGTTTGTAGTATATGGCTATAATGTATTGTATATATTGATACAACCTGGTACAAACATTTTTTGTTTTTTATCCAGAGCTCTAGTCCAAGAAGATGGTCTTACTCGGTTGATGCATATCAATACTTCTGATGGAAGATACCTTGCCAGAACATTAAAATTTGCATTAACGGTTAGTTTTTTTCTCTCTTGTTGACTTTTTAAATGTATATAACCTGTATATATTTTAGTAAGCATTTTATAATATCCTCTGTACTCTAAGTCATGTGTTTCCTTGCTTGTTGCTAATAATGAAGTGTTTGTGTACATTTCAGCTTTTAAAAACCTTGTGGAATTACAAAGCATTGCACCAGATGTACACTAAGAAGTACACAGCAGCAGATTTTACCACTTCTAAGGCCAGGCCAAGGTTTGTTGTTGTATAATAAAAATAATCAAATGATTTTTTAACAACCCTTGAAATAACTAGATGATTATATAATTTATTTTTGTACTATTCAGGCAGGATGGTTCAAAGTTCCAAGATTTATCTAAAACGCCTACCACTGGCAGTAACCACACTACACCCTACAACACACTTAGTCGGCCAATGTCTGGTCAAGGCTATGATGATAGCACCCTAACGCCAGCAAGGGCCCAGCAGCGAGGTTACTATAGTGAACAGCAGGCTCAAAACGATTTCAGAAACATGAGCAGAAGCAATATGTCATTACAGGGTAAAGGTATTTATTATTATTAGTGCTACGCAATTTGTTTTTAGTGCATGCCTAATTTTTAAGTCTTAAAATAAAAACAACTGTCTGACTTAATTACATTACTTTACTATTTCAGATCCACACAACTATTCTCGAGATGTAATCCATGTAAGTATTTTGTGATCCATTCAAAACTACATATTAGACCCAGTAATATGTTAGAGTTACTTGTTTTAATGTTTCTCCAGTTACAAGGCATGAGCCCCAATGATATTAGTCCAGGCTATGCTTGTCTTGATAAGCCTCATTTTATTATTTCTGCAGTTACAAGATATGACCCCCAATGATATTAGTCCAGGTTATGCTTGTCTTGATAAGCCTTATTTTATTATTTCTCCAGTTACAAGATATGACCCCCAATGATATTAGTCCAGGCTATGCTCCTCTTGATGAGCCTCGTCCACATAGAACTAAACCACCAGTTGGAGGTGTTCCATTGTTTCCAAATTTGACACCTGTAAGTATTTTAGCTTGAATAGCTGTTTCAGTTTTAAGTTTTTTTCTTTCTCTAAATGCTTTGACTAACTTGAAATTGTCACTTGTTAAAACTAAAATTTATTCTTAGGTGGAACCTCCTTCTCCCATGTATGGCAGTGATCCTCAAGCTATGTCAGAACCATTATATGCCCAGGTGAATAAAGGAAGCAGTCAGCGTCGAAACGACCCTTACTCAGGATCGTCTGGTGGCTTACATCAGAGCAGTGGCGGGGTAGGAGGAGCAGATTCATGGGTGTAACAACTTATGCTACATGCTGCTCATTATTAAGTATTGTAGAAAGATAAACACTTAACTTGTTTCAAAGAATAGACAGAGTTTTGGCTTAATGCCTTGTGTACTTAAATCTGTTAACTAGGTTAAGCTGAAAGAGAGACAATTTTGTTTAAAGGCTCCTGGATGTTATGGTTTTTTTTTTTTTGATAACCATTTGTTTATTCAAAGCAAGACATCGGGACAACGTTCTTTTATTTCATGCAAGGAACTTTAAAGACAATGAATAATAAGACTACTTAGTAACAATGTATTTCTCTCTCTCTCTCTCCACACATATATATATATATATATATGCAACTTGGTTAGTGATGAATGCAAGATGATAGTGAGTGCTGAATGAATATTTAATAGAATGAATGCTCTTCATTTAAACTTGTGATTTTTTATGACATCTTTTAGCCACCTAAATATATCCTTGAGTTTCTTCTCACAAATTGGAAACTTAGCATTCTATAACAGTGTACATTCTGAGAAACTTTTTATCATGTACATACTTCACCAAGAACTTGGCTCTATCTAACCATGATACAGAAAACAATGACTGAATCATAGTTTTTTTTTTATCTGATATAATATTCTAACACTTTTAATAGTCAGCCTTTATACTTGCTTCATATTTTAGAGTAGGATACAGCTTTTTATTGTTTAACTTGAAGGTTTCTGTTAGATTTAATCACTTAGGGTACATTATCTTTTACAGTGTTATAGATACATTTTGAAATCATGGTTATTTAAACTATTTGGTAAAACTGTAATCAAAAGATGTTTTTTTTTCCTCTCAGCTTGTTTTATGTGTATTGCTAGAAATGATGTTCACACTTGGGACATAAAAACTTTATACTGTACATATCAAGATAAAATAATAAATTTAAAGGATAAAAGAATTCTTTGTTTTATTAGTTTGTTTTAACCTGAAGGCTGTTTGAATATTTGCTTCCTTTACATAAATCAAGAATTAGGTAACAATGGAGGCAAGTGTTAAGAAATAAAACAGGCTGTTCTACAGAAAACTCTTTAAATGGATAACCACTTTATGTGCTAAGGTTTAGAGTCCTGAGAGCTGAATTGAGTTGTTTATTCAACTATTTGACTTATTTCTGTTTTTCTAAATTTTACGTTGATTAATGAACAAGAATTTTTTTTATATACAAGTTGTGTACTGTACAATAAATTTTTTACATTTAAATCACCTTACACAAACCCTATTACCACAACAAACCGACATAATTTACACTGTATGGCAGTGCAGGACGCAAGAGTGAATACCAGTACAGCCAGATTATAATTCAGTCAACATGGTTTTAAAATCAATACCTCTATTCAAGTCATAACTGCTTGAAGGGTGAAATCGGAATGCAGATCTCAAAAATGGCTCTTAACAATTTGAAAGTTTATGTATATCGCTGAGAAAAGCTCTTTGGCCACATAGAGAATTAAAAAAGGAATTAAAATTTAGCTAGAAATCGCGGTCTATATCCAACATTGGTTTTGAAAGGACTATCACGTGCTTTCAGGAATCTCTGATACCGGTATATTAATGTGGCAGAGTGACACAAACCGCTTGGCTACACATGGGCTTGAGTTTAAATCCCAACTTGAGCAGTGTTGTGTTTGCTGAGTCCCTAAAGGCAGCATGGAATATTCCAGATACACCTGACTCCGTTGTGTCCAAGAGATTGGACCATAGCACAGTTAGCAACCTCTGACATGAAAGATGTGTTAGACAAAATATAATTTTGAAAAAAAAAAACAACATATAATAACAAGGTTACAAAGACAGTTTGTGTGGAAACCCAAACTCAAAATCGGCCCCCGAAGTGGTCCACCCAAGCAGGTTAATTGGAAGGTATCAATATTTTCAGAAAGAACATCAGAATGAAATGCTATCATAGGCAAATGACAGAGAAGAATGGAGAAAAAAGGTTGACAGATCTTTTGTGGTGCCCCAGCGGTCCAAAGGATAGGTGTTAGTGAATGTGAAGTTAAATGTGAACCTGGACTAACTGATGTCTTATAATGAATATCTAATTGATTTAATTGTTTTGTAAAGGGTCAATGTCTTATTCAAATCCTCAAAAAAAAAAACATTTCCGTAAAAAAAAATCCTTTAGTAATGTGTTCTATGGCAGTATAGCACTGCAGTTCACATGATAATGTGAAAACCTAATTATTAATTGTTTTAAATTATGTCCAACTTATATGCATACTAAATAGAATTTTTCTTCTAAAAAAAGATATTCTTTTTGGGTAAATGTAGTAGCTAGTAGGACAGAACTTACATAACGTAGCAATACAAATATAAAAAAAAATAATTTTAGAATGGACTAAAATATTATGATGTCAGATTTTCACTATCTTTTCTAGTTTACGCGATCTAAACAGGACTGATGGACGGACAGACAGACATTTCACACAAAATGAATAGCTTCTTTTCCCCTTTCAGGGGCCGCTAAAAATGTTAAATCTAAAGCCTCCTTCTGGATGAATACTTCAGACTGTCATAATGCACTGCAATTCTTGAGTTGGGTCATGTTAGGCAAACATTGGGAAAGATATTGAGCTCATATTTTGAAAAAGCGCTTGAGTCACAAGGAAAAAAAAAGATTGCAAAGAAAGTTCTAATGTAAGTACAAGAACAATGTTGTCATGTAGAAAAGTCTTTATTTGGTGGACTGAAAGTGGAAAATGAAGAAGATATCAGGGTTGTTGGTTAGCAGGAAATTCTTTTTGTGCACCATTCATTGTTTAATATTAATGGCTCTTTGCCAGTCAAGCTACCATAATACTAATGATTTGAGGTTATTAAATGATTTTATGTGTTTCTTCAGCATGTTACTATGAATGTATGTGCAGGTTGAGAGACAGCTACAGTTTCATTCTTTTATTAATTAACATATACAGCCAAAGAGTCAAATCAAAACCACAAAGTCCTTAAGGCTTTAAAAGGAGTCAACCTTTAATACAGTAAGACATTACATTATTTAGTCACAAACTTCCCTTTTAGTAACTCAGATTATGAACATAGTTATTAGTGATTATGGTGTATCTCAAGTAGACATTGTATTGTACTTGTTTACCAATTCATGTTAGTCATGATAGACCTATACGTAAATATATATAGTTTAACTGTCTTAACATCTACAACATCAGTTTAACTGTCTTAACATCTACCACATTAGTTTAATTGTCTCAATATCTACCACATTAGTTTAATTGTCTCAACGTCTACCACATCAATATAACTGTCTTAACATCTACCACATCAATTTAACTGTCTTAACATCTAACACATCAGTTTCGCTAAATTAACATTCAACAATCTTAAAGTTTAATTTTTTAAAAAAAAGAGTGCAATATTTTTTCAATTTTAAATTTATTATACTGCCGATGAATATTCACTTCATACAACAACAATCAATTTTTTGTAAACAATGTAACAGTTCTTTCATATCTTCTTTTGTGGAGATGAAGCTCATTGAGAAAAAAAACTAAGACATTTACTAAAAAGACTGGACAATGCCTTAAATTCAGTACTCAAAAGCTCTCCAACATTTTTCTGTCAATTCCTCTGGTGTTTTTATTCATTTTTTTCTTTGGCCTCAGCATGTTTAGTAAACACACACATATCTTTTGCTGCAAAAAGATATTGAGGTATTTCAATTCTTTAATTTAATTGTCAGTATTCCAACAGAAGATAAAATATAAATCCTGTTTTTTGAATACAATTCTAAATGAACACTTGTGTTAATATCTGTATTTGGTGGAATAGTCTTTGGGAGAGACTACCAAACCCCTCCCCTTCCTGGCTCCCCTGTAGACTGTCTCGACAATGTCTATAAATTCCTGCACATCCTCCATGGACCAGTTGATCTTGTTGTTGTTACCAGTTCCCAAGTCAATCATAATGTGTTTGTTACGATAGAAGAACATCACTGTACAGGGGTCATATAACTCGTACATCTTGTTAAAATCAGGTACCTAGAAAATAGAACAAAATACAACAAAATTAATAAAAAACAACTTTATGGATCAGTCATGTAATTAGATCTGTAATAGATCTAGACTAACAATACACAAGATTACAAAGGCGGCCCCCGTGATCCACCCATTTGCAAGGAATATTCAAGACATGATTTTTATTTTCTCAGGCCGCTCAAGCTAATGCAGTAACCACTCTGCTAGCGAAGAGTCTATAAACATGGAAGATTGTATAGTTATCTATTGTTTCTATTTCATGTTTGTGTTTACTCAGATGACAAGCTAAAATATTTCAGCTTCATCCGAGATTGGGTGTCGAGAAATAATGTGCACAAAATCTTTAATTTTGGTCAGACAGATACACAAACAGAGTCAGCTAATATAAGCTTTGTAAAAATAGCTTCACTATTGCTCTCTTAGGTCAGAGTTTGTAAAGGTATAAATAGTTGTTTAAAAACTAGCAGTGAATGCATAAATGAAACAACCAAAATCGGTGATTGCTGGCGACACTAGTTGTCTGCCAGAAGCAGAGACACCCTGCAGTATATGTATGTATGCATGTATATGTGTGTGTATATATATATTTATATATATATATATGTATATATATATATATTTTTATATATATATATTTATATATATATATATTTATATATATATTTATATTTTTATATATATATATATATATATATATTTTTATATATATATATGTGTGTGTATATATGTATATATATGTGTGTGTACGTGCGCCTGTATATGTATATATGTGTGTGTACACACACACGCGCCTGTGTGTGTTACAGTTCTAAAATATTTTTTTAATATGTGTATATCTTACCTCTGTTATATCAACCAAATAAACCACAGCAAAATTTTTCATTTTGTCTGCACATTTATATAATGTTTCATCCATCACCATACAGGTGGGGTCCCAATCGTGACCAAAACGAATGACTACCACTCTGTCCTCTTCAGATAGGATTGCTTGATCTACTTGCCAACCATTGTGCAAGTGCTGTAACATGTACGACATGGCTACAATTTATATTTTTTGTCACCAACCCTGAAAAAAAATTGTAGGCTTATTTAAATATTACAATGCACACAACAGAACATTTAAATTTTTGTTTAGTTTAGTTGTTCATGCTTGTTACTAGTCAATCTAATCATCATTCATCAAGTGACCCAGAAAACTGACTATACCTTTTTTTGTCATATCAAGCTCAAAAGTCTTATACTATACCATTAAAAAACTATAATGCATGGTATCTCCTTTTTATTGACTTTAAATATAGTACCATTAGCTTAGTGCTGAATGTTTTAAAAGCAATAACTTTTGCTGGTTTTTTTTTATTTCCTCACTAAAAACGTCTTTTATTTTTGTATTTAGATCAGAAGTATGGCTATATCACAAGGTCCTCGATGGCTCAGACTTTCCTTCAGGGAATAGTACCAGAAAAAAAGAAAAGGCAGAGAGAAAGCAATGGGATGACCACACCATTAAAGAATGGACAGGCCTGATTGAAGGAAATTCCAAGGCAAAAGACAGACGGAAATGAAGAAAAAAGATGCCCAAACTCTTCAAAACTGTGTTTATATATATATGTGGCCGAGGATTGTATTAATAAGTTGACGAATTCATATAAAATGAAGAAAGAAACATCTCTCTGTATTTTCTTCAAACTTCTTTAATAACTTCTTCAACTTTCACATCAAATTAACTTCTTAATTCAATAACAACTTGACTTGATATTTCAAAAATAAAAACTTAAATGATACATGAAACTTCACTTAGTATAACTCCAACTTCAACTACTAAAACTTTATTTAATGGACCCGCTAATATCACAAAACTTATTACTAATCGAGGACTGAGCGAGGACCAACGCTCTACAAGAAGTACTACTATGCGAGGACCCCGTCTGACTGACTTTCCCCTAATTTATACTTTCTTTGATCGTATGTTCCAGAATCCTGGAACCTTCTCCGATAATTATTGTAGTAACTTTGACCTTCTAGAAGCTGACGTGTGCTATTTTTTTCCCTTAACCTCTTTCTTTGATTGGATATCTAAAATTTACTTGTTTACACTGGACACTTGCACTGGTTTGAACTCGCTTCTAGAAACTGGTCGAAATAGGTCACAGACTCGACTCGTGACAATATATATATATATACTGTGGCATTTTACGTCTGGAGAGACGATCTTTTCCCTTTGCAATTTCTAAAGAGGCCAATCCTTGATACACAGCTGCGATCGCAGGTTGGGCATATATAATCACCAGGTGCCGTTGCATTTTCACCCTTCTTTCTGGTTCTGTTGTGTATGACATCTGCAATCTGTGACCCTTCCTTTATGCTCTCTCTCCAAGTGGATCAGTCCAGTGCCACCTCTTCCCAGTTGCCAGTGTCGATTTTGAAGAGCTTCAAGTCACGTTTGCATACATCCGTATAACGTAAAAGTGGGAGACCAGCGGCTCTCCTGCCTTCTATTAGATCGCCATACAGGATGTCCTGTGGAAGTCGACCTGCTGGCATTCTACGAACGTGGCCAAGCCAGCCAAGGCGTCTGCTGCTGATAACAGAGCTGATGTCCTGGCACCCTGCTCTTTGTAGCACTTCCTCATTGGTTATCTTATCTTGCCACCTTAATTTAAAGATCAGCCTTAGGCATCAGAGGTGGAAGAAATTCAGCTTTTTTCCTGCCATGAGTAGGTTGACCATGTTTCGCTTCCGTACAGCAAGGTGCTCAACAAACAGGTCCGGTAGACTAGGGCTTTAGTACTGCTAGTCAGCAATATGTTGTCCCAGACTCTTTTCTGCAACCGTGACATGGTGGCCATTACCTTGGCTATCTTGTTGTTTATGTCTTTATCCAGTAGAGTGTTGTTGGATATGATGGAGCCAAGGTAACAAAAGTGATCAACAATTTCTAGTGGTTGGCCATTAATGCTTAATTGAGGTGCAGTGTTTGTGTTTTGGACAAGTATCTTAGTCTTGCTTTGACTGATGTTTAAGCCGAACTTCTGGCAAGCAGCAGATAGTTTGTCAACCAGGGACTGTAGCTGAATATCAGAATCACCCACAATAGCTGCATCATCAACATACAGGAGTTCCCTGACGAGTAGCTTCCTAACCTTGGTTTTTGCCCGCAGCCTTGATACATTAAATAGTTTTCCAGAGGATCTTGTAAGGAGAAACACACCTTCGTTTATGTCGTTGTACGCATAATATATATAAATATGCCTCTACATCATCAAGCCATTCCTGCTCTGCCTTAGCCGCAACTACCTTTTGTTTTCTGTTGATATATTTATTCCATATAATTTGCTAGGACAAATTCTTACAAGTGCTCCTTATGCCCTGTTTCATTAGAGTTTCTAATAAAGTATGGAATGGGTTGCCTGAATTAGCCAGGAAAACCAATGACTTAGCAGAGTTTAAGTCTCTAATTAACATTAACAACATGCGTAACTAGATTAAAACATGCATACGCTTAGGTTATAATAATCTCTTGAAGAAATGTTTACATGTTATCTTTTATATAATAATCAATATGGTATAAAGATCTAGATCTATTAAGACTTGTTCTGGAATATTCTAGAAGATAAGATCTAGATCTAGTCAATAGTATATATCAGAAATTAATTAATTTAGATAGATCTACTCTCGACTCTAGATTATTCTAAATTACTCTTAGATGGTTTTCATTACCTCTAGTCAAAGTCAAGTAAGACAAGACAATGAGACCTGAGGTGTAGACTCAGGCGGAGAGAATCGTTTCTTGACTCAGGTGACAGTGTGAAGTCTAGACTTTGGACCAACGTTGTTCAAGGCTGTTGCTTAAGTTAAATTTTTCTGGACAAAATAGTAATAAATATCAGTTGATATATGTAGATTATAGATATTCATATACTCATATTAGTCATATACTGATATAGATCTAGACCTACTATAAAAATTATTAATTACTAGCTTTAATTTTACCCGGCTTTGCTCTGTTTTTTTTTCTACAAATAACATGCATTTATTCCGCTTGAATAATTAATATTAATAATTAATTAATTAATATGTGAACAAAAGATGGTAATTTATTTAAGAAGTATATTAATTCATCGAGTAATAAAAAAAAAAGATTGTCTATGATAATGTTAGCCTACATTTCTGTTCGGTGATTTCAAGTTTCTGTTTAGATCTGTTTCTTCCATTGT